AAGCCTCCGCCTGCTATGCTATCGGGAGGCGGGGGAAACCGGTAGACAGTGTCCTTTGCCCCCGCCTGTTGGGCACAGTTTTCTCGAGTACACAGGAGGTGAAGGTGACCGGTAGACAGTTGTTGAATCATCGAACCTTGTGGAACGTCACATGTGATGTGTATTTTCTGGGGTGACAAAAAACTCTCAACTGGTTAAATAGGTCCTAAACCAATTTAGAACTGGACCAGAGAAGCCAACCCACCTCTTCAGTCTGTCCAGAAGGACATCATAGTCAACAGTGTTGAATGCAGCATTTAAATCCAAAAGTACAAGGACAGAGAGCTGTTTGGCATCTGTGTTGGCTCTAAGATCATTTACCACTTTAACTAAGGCTGTCTCTGTGCTGTGGTGGGCACGAAAACCAGTTGACACTTAAAAAATCATTTAGCTGTTTGAACACCAATTTCTCCGGAATTTTGCTTAAGAATGGAAGTTTGGCGATTGGCTGAAAATTGCTAAGAGCAGAAGAATCTAGATTACTTTTCTTCAGAAGGGGTTTCACCATAGCAGTTTTTAGTGCAGTGGGGAAAGTGCCTGTGAACAGCGAACAATAGCTTGCACTTCAGATATGCAATTAAAAACTGTTTTGAAGAAGGTGGTGGGAATAGGATCGAGAAGGCAGGTAAAAGGCTTAAGTTGTGATATCACTTTCCTGAGCATGTCTGTGTCAACCAGGGAAAATAAATCCACGGTGCCTTTGCGTGGTAGGCTAGGGCACATATCATCAAACTTCTCATCAGGTCTTGCTTGACTGATACCCAGCCTAATGTTGGTTATCTTATCTCTGAAATATATATATCACATTTAGATGTGGAGGAATGTTCACATAGGTTTGCGGGGGTAGGATTTATCAGGCCATCAATGGTCGAGAAGAGTACTCTCAAATTATTCTGATTTAATAGTGATCTAATTGCCTTGTTATATATGCCAAGTTGCTCTCTCAAAATATCATAACAACAAAACATTAAGAACACCTGCTCTTTCCATGACAAACTGACCAGGTGAATCCAGGTGAAAGCTATGATCCCTTATTGATGTCACTTGTTAAATCCACTTCAGTGTAGATGAAGGTGTTACGTTCGTTGTATAAAGGATCGGACCAAGGTGCAGCGTGGTATGCGTACATTAATAAAAAATTATTGGGGCTGCATCTCAGGCTTCCTTAGTGATCGGGACCTTTTGAGTCACCGTTTTTTCTCCCTCGCTGTCTCCGTCTGCTCCCAAGGAAGGCGATCCATACCTGCCTGGATCTCCTCCCACGTCCATGATCCTTTTCCGTCTAACATCTCCTCCCATGTCCATGATGTCTGCTCCTCCTGTTCACGCTGCTTGGTCCGTTGGTGGTGGGATCTTCTGTCACGTTCGTTGTATAAAGGATCGGACCAAGGTATAGCGTGGTTCCACCCCCATGCTTCACAGTAGGTATGGTGTTCTTTGGATGCAACTCAGCATTCTTTGTCCTCCAAACACGACGAGTTGAGTTTTTACCAAAAAGTTATATTTTGGTTTCATCTGACCATATGACATTCTCCCAATCCTCTTCTGGATCATCCAAATGCACTCTAGCAAACTTCAAACGGGCCTGGACATGTACTGGCTTAAGCAGGGGGACACGTCTGACACTGCAGGATTTGAGTCCCTGGCGGCGTAGTGTGTTACTGATGGTAGGCTTTGTTACTTTGGTTCCAGCTCTCTGCAGGTCATTCACTAGGTCCCCCCGTGTGGTTCTGGGGTTTTTGCTCACCGTTCTTGTGATCATTTTGCGTGGAGCCCCAGATCGAGGGAGATTATCAGTGGTCTTGTATGTCTTCCATTTCCTAATAATTGCTCCCACAGTTGATTTCTTCAAACCAAGCTGCTTACCTATTGCAGATTCAGTCTTCCCAGCCTGGTGCAGGTCTACAATTTTGTTTCTGGTGTCCTTTGACAGCTCTTTGGTCTTGGCCATAGTGGAGTTTGGAGTGTGACTGTTTGAGGTTGTGGACAGGTGTCTTTTATACTGATAACAAGTTCAAACAGGTGCCATTAATACAGGTAACGAGTGGAGGACAGAGGAGCCTCTTAAAGAAGAAGTTACAGGTCTGTGAGAGCCAGAAATCTTGCTTGTTTGTAGGTGACCAAATACTTATTTTCCACCATAATTTGCAAATAAATTCATTAAAAAATCCTACAATGTGATTTTCTGGATTTTTTTTTCTCAATTTGTCTATCATAGTTGACGTGTACCTATGATGAAAATGACAGGCCTCTCTCATCTTTTTAAGTGGGAGAACTTGCACAATTGGTGGCTGACTTCACCCCGTGGGGTCAAAATGATCACAAGAACGGTGAGCAAAAATCCCAGAACCACACGGGGGGACCTAGTGAATGACCTGCAGAGAGCTGGGACCAAAGTAACAAAGCCTACCATCAGTAACACACTACGCCACCAGGGACTCAAATCCTGCAGTGCCAGACGTGTCCCCCTGCTTAAGCCGGTACATGTCCAGGCCCGTCTGAAGTTTGCTAGAGTGCATTTGGATGATCCAGAAGAGGATTGGGAGAATGTCATATGGTCAGATGAAACCAAAATATAACTTTTTGGTAAAAACTCAACTCGTCGTGTTTGGAGGACAAAGAATGCTGAGTTGCATCCAAAAAACACCATACCTACTGTGAAGCATGGGGGTGGAAACATTATGCTTTGGGGCTGTTTTTCTGCAAAGGGACCAGGACGACTGATCCGTGTAAAGGAAAGAATGAATGGGGCCATGTATCGTGAGATTTTGAGTGAAAACCTCCTTCCATCAGCAAGGGCATTGAAGATGAAACGTGGCTGGGTCTTTCAGCATGACAATGATCCCAAACATACCGCCCGGGCAACGAAGGAGTGGCTTCGTAAGAAGCATTTCAAGGTCCTGGAGTGGCCTAGCCAGTCTCCAGATCTCAACCCCATAGAAAATCTTTGGAGGGAGTTGAAAGTCTGTGTTGCCCAGCGACAGCCCCAAAACATCACTGCTCTAGAGGAGATCTGCATGGAGGAATGGGCCAAAATACCAGCAACAGTGTGTGAAAACCTTGTGAAGACTTACAGAAAACGTTTGACCTGTGTCATTGCCAACAAAGGGGATATAACAAAGTATTGAGAAACTTTTGTTATTGACCAAATACTTATTTTCCACCATAATTTGCAAATAAATTCATTAAAAATCCTACAATGTGATTTTCTGGAATTTTTTTCCTCATTTTGTCTGTCATAGTTGACGTGTACCTATGATGAAAAGTACAGGCCTCTCTCATCTTTTTAAGTGGGAGAACATGTACAATTGGTGGCTGACTAAATACTTTTTTCCCCCACTGTAACTTCCACAAAGCTGTGAACGATCTGAGAGACAAGGCAAGATGGGCCTTCTATGCCATCAAATGGAACATAAAATTCGACATACCAATTAGGATCTGGCAAAAAATACTTGAATCAGTTATAGAACCCCATTGCCCTTCATGATTGTGAGGTCTGGGGTCCGCTCACCAACCAAGAATTCACAAAATGGGACAAACACCAAATTGAGACTGCATGCAGAATTCTCTGCTCAAATCTGGGTAAAAGATTGGAAGGAATGTGAGTCTTATTCAGTACATTTAGTTATTGCTTGCTTTTCTAACGTCTACCAACCTTGCCAGCAGGCATGCCAGCTAAGATAGTTAGACAAGCTAGCTACTCTAACTTGATTCATAGCCTGAATTGGCTTCTTGGTAGGTCGTTAAGAGGTTGGGAGATTGGAAACATATCTGGGCAAACTAAAGCCAACTTCATAAAATGTGGCAAATAGAATTACAAATAGTAAAATAAATAAAAACGTAATATTCTCTCCCTCGTTCTCTCTCTGTCTCTCTCTCCCTCTCTTGTGTTCTCTCCTTTCCTCCACGCCATGATGCCTTTCCGCCTCATCTGAGATTACTCTGAATTCCAATTCAAAACAACAAACCTCTTTAAATAGTTGTCTCTTTAAGCGGAGGATTCATTGGCTCCCTCATTTGTGGGTGTTTGTGTGTGTGCATGTGTCTGCGTGCGTACTTGTTCACAATACTGTATGTGCAGGCGTTCCTATATTTTGGAAGACTGATATTTGAAAAGAAAAGCCTGTATGACTTTAATGTTCCATTAAATCAGACTTGTTAAATACAAATCACAGTGATTGATGTGCTTGAAAAGTCATTATTTTAACACATAAGAGACATTACAGCAATCCTATATCTATATACAATTAGTCCATGTCCTCTCTAAGTCTGTATCCCCTAAGGCTGCATCCCACCACTCTCACCTCCACTCTCACCTCCACCACTCTCACCTCCACTCCCACCACTCTCACCTCCACAACTCTCACTACTCTCACCTCCACTCCCGCCACTCTCACCACCATTCTCAACTCCACTCCCACCACTCTCACCTCCACCACTCTCACCACTCCCATCACTCTCACCTCCATCACTCTCAACTCCACTCCCACCACTCTCACCTCCTCTCACACCACTCTCAATTCCACTCCCACCACTCTCACCTCCATTCCCACCACTCTCAGCTCCAGATTGTAACTCAGTACTCAGGAGATGGTGGCTTTCAATCTATCTGGCCCTCTCGACACCACCCTCCCCTGGGAAATGTATCTAGGGATTAGAGTGATTTGCAGTAATACATCTTTGGGATAAATGGGATTATCCAATCCAGTGAGGGTTCCCCCTGATTCCCCCTGATTTGACGGTAAACCTCATTACCGGAACTGGATCCCCTACTCAGAGCGTGGGGACATGGGGAAATTACAACAAGACGATGTTGTCAGTGTGGATCACTGGACAGTTGGGAAGGCAGCTTGTTGATAGACCCTGGTACCCAGAGGTACGTGGTCATTGAGAAGTGAATGAGAAGAGTTATGAGATTTAGAGTTTCCATGTTGTGTGGAGAGCCATCTTTAGTCATTGTTATGACAGGATGTTTTCTCTGTTTTATTACGAGACATGAGTAAAAGGTGTCTTTCCCCGCCGTTTCAATGGGACTTGGCATGTGTCCGTAGTGTGAGTTGTCTGTTTTGACTGTTGCTGAAGGAATGTGTACTCACAACTCTTCATCTGTCCTTTTCACCCTTTTCATTATTTATCTCTCTCTCTCTCTCTCTCTGTCTCTCTCTCTCTCTCTCTCTTTTTGTCTGTCTTTCTCTCTCTCCCTCTATTCACTATGGTTTCATGATTTTGTATAAATATTTTTTGATGCGCGTTACCAATACATCAACACACCTAACAGCAGTGCTGCCAGATCTACAGTGCTTTCAGAAAGTATTCACGACCCTTGACTTTTTCCACATTTTGTTGTGTTACAACCTGAATTTAAAATGGATTAAACACAGATTATTTTGTAACTGGCATACACACAATACCCCATAATGTCAAAGTGCAATTATGTTGTAATTTTTTTAAACAAATCCATTGTAATTGAAAAGCTGAAATGTCTTGAGTCAATAAGTATTCAACCCCTTTGTTATGGCAAGCCTAAGTAAGTTCAAGAGTAGAAATGTGCTTAACAAGTCACATAAATTGCATGGATTCACTCAGTGTGCAATAACAGTGTTTAACATGATTTTTGAATGACTAGCTCATCTCATTACCCAACACATACAATTATCTGCAAGGTCAAGTAGTGAATTTCAGACACAGATTCAACCACAAAGACCAGGGAGGTTTTCCAATGCCTCGCAAAGATGGGAACTTATTGGTAGATGGGTAAAAATAAAAAAATCAGATATTGAATATCCCTTTGATCATGGTGAAGTTATTAATTACAATTTGAATGGTGTATTAATAAACCCAGTCACTACAAAGATAAAGGCATCCTTCCTAACTCCGTTGCCGGAGAGGAAGGAAACCGCTCAGGGATTTCACCATGAGGCCAATGGTGACTTTAAAACCGTAAGAGTATTTAATGGCTGTGATAGGAGAAAACTTAGGATGGATCAACAACATTCCTAGAGGAAAACCTGGTTCAGTCTGCTTTCCACCAGACACTGGAAGATTAATTCACCTTTCAGCAGGATAATAACCTACAACACAAGGCCAAATCTAAACTGGAGTTGCTTACCAAGAAGGTAGTGAATGTTCCTGAGTGGCCGAGTTACAGTTCTGACTTAAATCTACTTGAAAATCTATGGCAAGACCTGAAAGTGGTTGTGTAGCTCATGACTCAGGGGTGTGAATACTTATGTCAATTAAATATTTATGTAATTCATTTTCAATAGATTTGCAAAAAATGTCACTGTCATTATGGGGTACTGTGTGTAGATGGGTAAGAAAAACAAACATGTAATCCATTTCAGGCTGTAAAACAACCAAATGCAGAATAAATCAAGGGGTATGAATACTTTCTGAAGGCAATGTATATGCTCAGTCCTCCATTGACCAACAATTACTGTAAAACCTCATCCCTCTCTCTCTCTATCCCCCTCTCTCTCCAGGGAAGGAAGAGTCGGTAGCCACCTTCAAGGGGAACGAGTTCTTCTGCTACGACCTGTCACTGACGCCCATCCAGAGTAGCACGGATGAGATCACGCTCTCCTTCCGCACGCTGCAGCGCAACGGCCTCATGCTGCACACGGGCAAGTCGGCCGACTACGTCAACCTGTCGCTGAAGAGCGGCGCCGTGTGGCTGGTCATCAACCTGGGCTCGGGCGCCTTCGAGGCGCTGGTAGAGCCTGTCAACGGGAAGTTCAACGACAACACCTGGCACGATGTGCGCGTCACCCGCAACCTGCGTCAGGTAAAGAGACACAACGTGATTGGTCCATCTTCTATGCAGCGTTTCTCTCTCGCTTTCTGAATCGTTTTGTCTTTCTTATCTCTCTTTATCGTTCTATCTTTCAGGCTATTTTATCTCTCTCTTCTTTCCCTGATGTTGGTTTTTTTCTCTTCCAGTTCCAGGGTTGAGATCTGCAGAGGATTGCTGCTGCTCACTCTCTCTTGTCATGGTTTTCTTTCCAAAAACAACCAAAGATCCATGTCATCTTCTCATTGGGGCAAACGTGGGGGAAGGGGGTCAAAGTTGAGATCACAGAGGAAGTAGAACTGACCCAGTTCTTGAGCATCACACACATTAATTTATATTATGGTGGATATCTAGTACACAAACATCTAGAACATTAAGTACTTTTATGTCTACGTAAGCCTAATAGGGAACACTGCGTTCAGTAGTCACTACCAATGGGAGCTGTTCTTGCTTAAATATGTATGCATGTAATGTACTTACCCACATGTGATGCTTTCTAATTTATCAGAAGAGACGGTACATTTCAGCCCCATCTAAACACATTACTCCATAGATCTTTACAACCAGCTAATCACAGGCAATAGGAGGCAAAGGAGCCCACACAGCCGATGTGAACACCAGCGTACACATACACTAACACACCCCCACACACGTATATCCCACACAACCACACATTGAATTAAACAGCACAAGCAAAGGATCAATACCAGGTCATCAATTGGCATATAGTGGCGGTGAGATGTAATCAATTTCACTTACATTTGCCTTGCTTGCTTCTCCCAGTGTTTTGGTAATTCTAATTGGAACGAATGGCTTGTCAGCCCTAATAATAGCCATTGTAATGGCCCCGTATTGCAACCAGGCCTGATGTGAATGCATTAACAAAAAAAAACACCAACTCCTTTGTCCACTGCCGCAGCAAACATTTACACAAAGTCTTACTTCCTCTCCCCTGGAAAGAAAACAGGTGCGTCAAACTTCCCTGGACTTTTTCATCACTGCAGAATTCAGTCTCAGGCAGGAGAAAGAAAAGTTGTGTTGCTGGTAAAGGAACCTCAATGGCGCAGTACGTTTGTGGCATTATCTTTCATAGGAAGCTCTCCAGACCAACTAGTTTAATATGTATCGGCTGTCATAGCAGTCATTCATGCTGCAAACGCAGAGATTAGGCTACTGCAGTCATGTAGCTTGAATAAGCATGTAGCTAGTTATTGGTCACGTGCCGAATACAACAAGTTCAGACTTTACCGTGAAATGCTTACTTACGAGCCCATTTCCAACAATGCAGATTAAAAAGTACGAAAAATATGTCCTAAATAAAAAAGGAAATAGTAACACAATACAATAACAGTAACGAGGCTATATACAGGAAGTACCAGTTCCGAGTCAATGTGCAGGGGTATGAGGTAGTTGAGGTAATACAGTATGTACATGGAGGTAGGGGTAAAAGTGACTAGGCAATCAGGATATATAATAAACAGAGTAGCAGCAGCGTATGTGAATAGTGTGAAAGTGTGACTGTGTGTGTGGGTGTGGTGTCAATATGCATGTGTGTGTGAGCGTGTGTGTATGTGTGAGTGTGTGTCTAGTGAGTCTAGTGAGTGTGCATAGAGCTAGTGCAATTACAAAAAATAAAGATACAAAAATAAATAATAAAGTGTGTCAATGTAAATAGTCCGGGTAGCCATTTGATTGACTGTTCAGCAGTCTTATGGCTTGGGGGTAGAAGCTGTTCAGCAGCCTTTTGGTCCCAGACTTGACACTCCGCTACCGCAGGGACTATGGAAAATGTAGGTAGTACAGACTGGGTCGGGGAGAGGTTGAAAATGTCACTGAAGACACTTGCCAGCTGATCAGCGCATGCTCTGAGTACGTGTCCTGGTAATGCATCTGGCCCTGCGGCCTTGTGAATGTTAAGCTTTTTAAATAATAATAATAATATGCCATTTAGCAGACGCTTTTATCCAAAGCGACTTACAGTCATGCGTGCATACATTTTTTTTTTGTGTATGGGTGGTCCCGGGGATCGAACCCACTACCTTGGCGTTACAAGCGCCGTGCTCTACCAGCTGAGCTACAGAGGTCTTACTCACATCGACTAAGGAGAGAGTGATCATGCAGTCATCCGAAACAGCTAGTGCTCTCACGCATGGTTCAGTGTTGCTTGCCTCAAAGCAAGTATAGAAGGCATTTAGCTTGTCTGGTAGGTTTGCGTCTCTCGGCTGGGTTTCCCTTTGAAATCTGTGATAGTATGCAAGCCCTGCAACGAGCATCAGAGCTGGTGTAGTAGGATTCGATCTTAGTCCTGTATTGATGCTTTGCCTGTTTGATGGTTCGTCGGAGGGTGCAGTGGGATTACTTATAAGCATCCGGATTAGTGTCCCGCTCCTTGAAGGCAGCAGCTCTAGCCTTTAGTTCAGTGCGGATGCTGCCTGAAATCCATGGCTTCTGCTTGGGATATGTACGTACGGTCACTGTGGGGACGACGTCATCGATGCACTTATTAATGAAGCCGGTGACTAATGTGGTAAACTTCTCAATGCCATCGGATGAATCCTGGAATATATTCCATTCGGTGCTAGCGAAACAGTCCTGTATCTTAGCATCGGACCACTTCTGTATTGAGCGTGTCACTGGTACTTCCTTTTTGAGTTTTTGCTTGTAAGCAGGAATCAAGAGGATAGAGTTATGGTCAGATTTGCCAAATGGAGGGCAAGAGAGAGTTTTGTATGCATATATGTGTGTGGAGTAAAGGTGATCTAGAGTTTTTTTCCTCTAGTTGCACAGGTAACATTCTGGTAGAAATTAGGTAAAACGGATTTCAATTTTCCTGCATTAAAATCACTGCCCTCCAGGAGCTCTGAAATAGCATTTTCTTGTTTTCTTAAGGCCCTATACAGCTCGTTGAGTGCGGTCTTAGTGCCAGAATCGGTTTGTGGTGGTAAATAGACAGCTACAAAAATACAGATGACAACTCTCTTGATAAGTAGTATGGTCTACAGCTTATCATGAGGTATTCTAAATCAGGCGAACAGAACCTTGAGACTTCCTTAATGTAATATTAGAGAGCTGTTGTTGACAGAGACACACACCACCCTCCTTAATCTTACCGGACTCTGCTGTTCTGTTCTTCCAATGCATAGAAAAACCAGCTAGATGTACAGTGGGGGGAAAAAGTATTTAGTCAGCCACCAATTGTGCAAGTTCTCCCACTTAAAAAGATGAGAGAGGCCTGTAATTTTCATCATAGGTACACGTCTGTCCACAACCTCAAACAGTCACACTCCAAACTCCACTATGGCCAAGACCAAAGAGCTGTCAAAGGACACCAGAAACAAAATTGTAGACCTGCACCAGGCTGGGAAGACTGAATCTGCAACAGGTAAGCAGCTTGGTTTGAAGAAATCAACTGTGGGAGCAATTATTAGGAAATGGAAGACATACAAGACCACTGATAATCTCCCTCGATCAGGGCTCCACGCAAGATCTCACCCCGTGGGGTCAAAATGATCAGAAAAAATCCCAGAACCACACGGGGGGACCTAGTGAATGACCTGCAGAGAGCTGGGACCAAAGTAACAAAGCCTACCATCAGTAACACACTACGCCGCCAGGGACTCAAATCCTGCAGTGCCAGACGTGTCCCCCTGCTTAAGCCAGTACATGTCCAGGCCCGTTTGAAGTTTGCTAGAGTGCATTTGGATGATCCAGAAGAGGATTGGGAGAATGTCATATGGTCAGATGAAACCAAAATATAACTTTTTGGTAAAAACTCAACTCGTCGTGTTTGGAGGACAAAGAATGCTGAGTTGCATCCAAAGAACACCATACCTACTGTGAAGCATGGGGGTGGAAACATCATGCTTTGGGGCTGTTTTTCTGCAAAGGGACCAGGACGACTGATCCATGTAAAGGAAAGAATGAATGGGGCCATGTATCGTGAGATTCTGAGTGAAAACCTCCTTCCATCAGCAAGGGCATTGAAGATAAAACGTGGCTGGGTCTTTCAGCATGACAATGATCCCAAACACACCGCCCGGGCAACGAAGGAGTGGCTTGGTAAGAAGCATTTCAAGGTCCTGGAGTGGCCTAGCCAGTCTCCAGATCTCAACCCCATAGAAAATCTTTGGAGGGAGTTGAAAGTCCGTGTTGCCCAGCGACAGCCCCAAAACATCACTGCTCTAGAGGAGATCTGCATGGAGGAATGGGCCAGCAACAGTGTGTGAAAACCTTGTGAAGACTTACAGAAAACGTTTGACCTGTGTCATTGCCAACAAAGGGTATATAACAAAGTATTGAGAAACTTTTGTTATTGACCAAATACTTATTTTCCATCATAATTTGCAAATAAATTCATTAAAAATCCTACAATGTGTTTTTCTGGAGAAAAAAAATCTCATTTGGTCTGTCATAGTTGACGTGTACCTATGATGAAAATTACAGGCCTCTCTCATCTTTTTAAGTGGGAGAACTTGCACAATTGGTGGCTGACTAAATACTTTTTTTCCCCACTGTATATTATCCATGTCCTTGTTCAGCCATGACTCTGAGAAGCATAGTATATTACAGTTCTTACTGTCCCATTGATAGGATAGTCTCAAACTGAGCTCGTCCATTTTATTATCCAGCGATTGGACATTCGCCAATAGAACAGAGGGTAGAGGCTATTTATTCACTCGCCGCCGTAGTCTTATCAGGGTGTCCGTGCGCCTGCCTCTATATAGCATTGTCTTCTCCTCCTTTGATTGTCTGGGATTTGGGCCTGGTCCGGAAAAATCTGTCTTTCGCCTCTAAGTAGAAGTCCTCGTCCAAATCAAGGTTAGTGATAGCTGTTCTAATGTCTAGAGGCTCATTTTGGTCATTGAAAACGATGGCGTAAACATTATGTACAAAAAAAGTTAAGATCAGCGCAAAAAAAAGACACAAAATAGCACAATTGGTCAGGAGCCCGTAAAACATCCGCTTTCCAATGCAGCGCCATTCTTCCCACACTGCAGGGGTCAGATATTTTTGCTGCGAGGGCATGTTTGCTCACCAGAGTGAAACAGATTTAATGAGTTTGGAAAGCTGACATGATTCTAGAGATTTAGACCCTGATCCCACCCACCCACCACCGTCCCACCATGATCCACACTGAGCTATGCTATACCACACAGACTCG